CAAATGTTGTGTTTTCAGTAACCGTAGCAAAAGAAAGGAGAGGGAATGAGCGAGGGAGCAGTTGTTTCCCTGCAGCCTGTGGCTCCTGCGTGGATGTTTCTGTCCCTCGGAGCTGAGCACGGGCTCCCATGCCACGTCCTGCCTGTCCTTCGGTGACTTGTGTGGGACCACACACCCTGCCAGGATGGGATTTTGGGGAATCTGGTGGCTTTCTGGGGACTGTGGGATTTCTGCAGCTGACAGCACTTGTCACCTCTGCAGGGGACTGCCAGGGGGTGGCACTGCAGAGACTGATGCCAGGCTGGGAAAAAACATGGACAAACAAGCAGGGAGGCAAAACAGTGGGCACAGGGGCTACCTGGGGTCCCCATGTCCCTGCCGCTCCCTTTCCTGCTGTCAGGCATGGAAACCCCTTCAGTTAGCACTGTGGAGGGACAAAAGAACAAGTAAAAGAGATGCAAAGGCTCAAGAGGAACCAGAGAGGAAGTTTTCCAGCCCTGGAGCTTTGGGTTTGGAGCAGGTCAGGATAAAAACCTCGAGATTTAGGCTCCAGAGTCCATTTTGGGTTCAGAGGGGATCAGGCTAAAAACCTCAAGATTTGGGTTCCAGAACCCATTTTAGGTTTAGAGCAGGTCAGACTAAAAACCAGGGGAGCTCCCACATCCAAGTTGCCATCCTGAGCCCCGCAGATGACAAACACACACATTCCCCACGGCAAATGAGTCCGGCCGCTCTCAAACCGCCCCACATCGCGAACCCGCTCGCTCTGGAACTAATTACATGGCGAGGCAGACGAGCCATGTATTTTGATACCTAAGAAAATGCTGTAAAACTCCTGCCTGCTGCAGCAGAAAGCACCGCTGTGCTCAGGAAATTGGGCTCTTGCCCTCGCCCAGCCCGGCTCTTGTGCACGCCTGGGTCACGCGAGATGTGCAATTAGCCCTTACACGGTCACCAGGGACTACCTGTGCTGCACATATGACCCCTAGGACCACAGGCAGCACATTTGCCTACATTCCCCCAAATTAGTTGTTTGTTTTTTTTTCCCAGCTGTTTCATTAATTAAAAATATAATTTTTTTAAAAAAAGTCCAATGCAAACAAGCAAACTTATTATTCTTCCCTCCAGACCTTCCAGCAGATTGGGGCAGACACACCTGCACAGGAACATCGATGCCATTCCTATGGGAAGCTCAGACAAGACTGGGGCTCTTGTGCACGCCTGGGTCACGCGAGATGTGCAATTAGCCCTTACACGGTCACCAGGGACTACCTGTGCTGCACATATGACCCCTAGGACCACAGGCAGCACATTTGCCTACATTCCCCCAAATTAGTTGTTTGTTTTTTTTTTTTTTTTCCCCAGCTGTTTCATTAGTTAAAAATATAATTTAAAAAAAAAAAGTCCAATGCAAACTAGCAAACTTATTATTCTTCCCTCCAGACCTTCCAGCAGATTGGGGCAGACACACCTGCACAGGAACATCGATGCCATTCCTATGGGAAGCTCAGACAAGACTGGGAACAGCTCCACAACATGGGGACACTCTTCCTGTTATAGGGTTAAAAAAACAGGGGCTGATTCCTGGTAGATCCAATGCCTGGTAGACCTGACAAGTGCTGAAGAAGTTGGATGGTGTAGTGGGGCTGTTGGGTATGAGAAGAGGCAGCTCCCTGCAGATGGACACTGCCACCCTCCCATTGCCCCAGGACAGAGTAGCCCAGCCCTTTGGTACAGCTGAAAAGAGGGAAAATACTTCCTAGACCTAAATAAGACATGTCACATAACCGGTCAGACCACTGATGTCCTCTGGGCTTGCTAAAAAAACACAAACCAGAAGCAAAACCCAGGATCCTCCCCCAGAGAGATGGATGCGAGCGGCAGGAGAGCCTGGATGAAGGCTCCGCACCGCGTTAGCAGAGCAGGACCCGGCTGCCTGGCCAGTGATTTCGTTTACTTCGGTGGAGTTACGCCAAGAATGGACTTGGCCCCAGCATGTCTGAGGGTTATTGTATCTGCATTCCCCCATGCATATACTGTCGAGATGTATTAACTTCCTTAAATGTACCAGTAAAACAACCTCTTATGATACACTTTAATGAACTTGTACAGTAGCCAACAAATTGTGCATCATATAAAAGCCATTCGGCCTTATAGACTCTCTGGCTATTTTGTAATAACTGCAATTTGCTTCTGCTGAAGCAAGATAACCAAGGTTGAGAAGTCAGGCTTTGCAGAAACCTAAATATTTGATTTGGGGGGGAGTGGGTGGGAGAAGGAAGAAAGGGGCCTCTGGGAGCTATTTATGGGGTCAAAATAACATGAGACCTGCTCTTCTCGTAGCATTTCCACCGTCAAGGAAATGAAATACTGTGAGAAGCCCAGCACTTGCATTATTTTGGCCCCATAAATGGCTCCCCGAGGCTTTCAAAAGCCCGTGAAAAACAAACACAAATACAAATAAATGCTAATACTGGAAACGTAAATACTAAAACCTGCCCATGTCCCTGGAGGAAACGACTCTCAAAGTCCTGACCGCCCTAAAAACAAAACAAAAAAAAGATAGGGGAAAAAAGATGAAGGAGCAGGAACATCTGCTGAAGCCATGAGGAGAAAGTCACTTCAGGGGAGCTGGGAACAGCCCTGCCTTCGCTTTTGACAGTAACAGGCACCGCTGGCACCACCCAGGCTCCCAGAATAACAGGGATTTTCAGGGCACACGTGCTTTCCACCGTGGTGAAGGCAGCACCAGTAAAAAACCTCATTGCTGCCAGCGTGGCGAGTGACCGGCCGA